GATAAACATAAAAATATTAAAATACAGTATGGTAGTTATAAAATCTTGATTATTGTCAAAACAAATAATGTTTAGAATTGCAATATTTATATGACATTATAATTATTAGGGGAAAGTTGCTAAACCAGTATGACTATACATGTATAGTATAGCATTTACCTGGCAAAATAAGAGATCTCTTTTACCCTGATGTGGCCCATGCACTGTGGGCCCAATGGTATGTGTTCCAACACTCATGTAAATTTTACTCCTTACTGTTCATAACTGAACACACCTTTGTGCACATTTAACCATGCAAAATATTATACAATATAACCAATGATTGTTTTATAACATTAATATATATATATACACACTTTCTTTTTCACTTGAATTAATGAAGATCCTCCATAATTTTCTTTCAGTCTATGTTAGCCAAACTATCCTCCCTAATGAACAAATCCACAAGGGTCATGATAAGGGTTCGAACCTACGTCCAGGATGATCCTAGATGCGCCTTAATTCGACTGCGCCATCACATGGTAACAGAATTGCAACCTCGTTGTGTCTCAGAGAGGCTGCGAGAACCGTATGAGGACAGTAGCACTTCCAGTAGCAATTTTTTTACCATGCCGTGGCGCAGTCGATTAAGTCAATGTCTGGGATCATCCCGGATGTAGGTTCGAACCCTCATCACGGCCCTTGTGGATTTGTTTATTTGATGTATCACACTATTGTGATTTCTGTGTGTATCCTCCCTATATTTATTTTCTTTGTTGGATATTGTCTAAGTGCCAATATCAAACTTATTTGCACAAAATCCTCACTTCTAAAACATGATAAATTTTCTCCAACAATTTGGCCTTTTCACCCATGTTCAGGTACAGTACCTCTTCTTTCTCCTAACTATTCTAGCTAGACTACTCTTGTTGGCAGTTATATTTTTGTCTTGTGGATAATTAAATATCAAAAGAAAATACCAGTACAGTACATAAAAATTTAAGCCACAACAAAAGCCAATGCCAAGGTTCCACAGAGGAAGAAATCGCATGGTGTGGAGGTATCATGCATACTAAATGTATTGTGCTACAGTATTTATACTATGTATAGTATAATTTCAATTAATCAAAAATATAGCAAAATTGTAAAATAATGTTTACTACTAAAACTACGAGAAGAAAATAGTAAAACAATACAATTACAGTAGATGGAATTACTTAATGGAGTTGATTCATATTTAATGGCAAAGACTAACATGAATGTGGATCAAATTTGGAGTTTGGAGGCAATCTGATAAGAAACTTTGTACGCTTTCTGGAAGTTTCATTATAAAGAGGTTCGGACTTGAGAAGTTGCACTGCACAGTGAATTACATTAACTTTTAGTAAACCAAGAGCAGTAGTAATGAGCTACGTAAGAGTAAGATGAAGTAAATAATATTGTACTGCACTATCAATAAAATTTGTTTGTAGTACTATATTCCATTGTACTGTACAGTAGTTGAAAAGTGTGAATGGATACTTACTGTCGGCACGGCAAAAGAATATGGAATAAGTACTAGAACAGCCTTCAGTATATGAAAATGGAAAACCATTTGTTGAAGTTTATGGCTACTAAACTGAGTACAGATGTAAATCAAGTACTAGTACTATGTTGATATTGAAGGCTTCTGAGGACATTTTTGAAAATGCTGTTTATGTAATGTTCACATAGCAATACACAACAAGTGAAGTGGTTTGGCACAGAGAACTTAAAACTGCAGTCGGTATGGCTGTTTAATTTTAACTAATTGTAAGCTAATAATGGCTGAATCTAAAAGATTTAATGGCAGGTAGAGCATTGAACAGAATGATTGTGGGGGCTGATCCATTCAAGAACAAATTAAATCTTTAAAATTTACACTTCATGATCAACAACATGATCAGTCTAGTTTCAACAACTAATAATGATGAAAGATCAAGTCTTTAGTAGTACAGTACTATACTACAGGATGGCTTGTACTACAAGCCATCAGAACTAGAGTACTGTCCTACATTGTGGCTTACTTCAAGCTCAGCAAGCCACAATGTAGAACAGAAAAATAGATGCTTTTGCACCCACAGGGTTATAAACCCATGGAACTGCCTACCAACCTAAGTTGTAAATACCAAGACATTATGTACTTCTAATTAATTTAAAATACCGTACAGATAGAAAAAATCTTGAGGAACAGTATTGGAAAGGGAGAAACTTTGTCAAGCCACGAGCTCCTGTTCCCATCGAGGCTACTAGGAAGAGAGTGGTCCTCAAGTAAATTCAGGTAATACAAAACAAACACTACAAAACTACCACACTATGTTGTTACATGAAACCATTTATAAGAAGCCTCATTTAACTCATGATTTTATTTTTTCATTGTGTGATACATTTCTTAAGCTTTTTTCAACTGTAACCATTGCCATCATTTTACTCTTTCACTTGGAACTTCACAAGTTTGCTCACTAGCTTTTCTTCCATGTCAAGATATCTGCTCTCTTTCCGTTCTTGGTTAAACCAGCTGATAGACATCTTTTCAACATACAGATAGCAAAATTAATAAGGATCATTGAATAACAAGAGGTCGTGCCAACCAATAACAGAACATGAAAATGTGCATTTTTTCGGTGAGGTGGGCCAGTCTGCCAAGACAGCTTGGTGGAGCAGATATCACATTCTTATTCACCAAAAATTTGTATGTTAGCCAATTCCTTCTGGCCAACCAAGTGAAAGTTATCTTCCAAAGAAGTCATCCGGTCAAGTATATAGTGGCAGAGAAGAAAAGATAAATGGAGAAAATACAGCCTGATGTTCATTGACCAGGACATTAGTAAGGAGGAAAGAGAGGATGTTAAGAGAAATACAGAGGGAAAAGTGTCCAACATTACACTAAAGAGGAGAGCTACTGGAAATACACTATAGAAAAAAGTGAATGTAGTTCCAATATTCAAGAATGAGGAGAGACATGAAGCACTAAACTGTAGTCCAGTGTCATTAATATGCATTCCGTATAAGATAGTAACAAAAAAGTCATCAGTAAAAGGATTGTATAATAGCTGGGTAAGTAAATTTTATAACAGGCACAACAGCTTCAGAGAGGAAAAATCATGCTTTACAAACTTGATTGAATTCTATGACAGGGTCGCCAAAATAAGACAAGCGAAGAAAGAATGGGTAGACTGTATCTTCCTATACTGCCAGAAAGCTTAGATATAGTTCTTCACAAGAGACTAATATACAAGATGGAAAGACAAGTGGGAATAACAGGAAAGGCACTGGATTGGGTATGGGGAGTACCTGATGGACAGGAAACAAAAGGTCATAGTCAGAATGTTTAAGCCAGGCTGAAGAGGAGTGGAAAGTGGTGTTCCACAAGGCCCAGTCCCAAGACCATTGATCTTTCTAATTTATGTCTATGCTTGCAGATAATTAAAAGTTAACAAGGAAGGTAAAAACTAAAGAAGACTGTAGGGCGCTGCACTTTCAAAACTTCAGGGGATGATATTTACAAGAAACAAAAAGAGAAAAGGACTTGGGAATAGAAATAATCCTAAAACTAACACCAAAAGCTTATGTGAACAGGATAACATTTGCTGCCTATGGGAAGTTAGTAAACATAAGTACATCATTTAAGAGTCTAAACAAGGGGGCTTTCAAGTCCATACACACTGCTTATGTGAGACCATTACTTGAGTATGCAGCACCAACACGGAACACATACCTTGTGAAGCACAAAAAGAAACTTGAGAAAGTTCAGAGGTCTGCAACTAGATTAGTACTGGAATTGATAAGGATTAGCTATGATGACAGATTGAGGAAACTCGCCCTTACAATCTTAAAGGATAGAAAAGATGGAGGGGGACAAGAACACTACATACAAGATCCTGAGGAGCATAGAAAAGTGGATAAAGGAAGCCTATTTAAATTATTAGGAGGTAGGACAAGGGAACATCAGTGGAAGCTGGACACCCTGTTGAGCTGGAGAGATGTAAGGAAGTTCTTGTTCCCTTGTACAAGTGGTCAGCAAGTGGACTGCATTGACAGAAGAGGTTGTTGAAACAATTTCCATCCACAACATAAAAAAAAATAACAATGAAAATGTTAATGTTGAGAGGGGTAATTAGCACACCAGCTATAAATGGTGTAGCAAGTAACAAGGCATAAAGAGCTAGAGTTCACTTCCCCCATACTCACTGACAGATAAGTACCATAATTTGATCAAGCAAGGTCCCACTATATAATATAACTTGTTTAAATGATCGATATTGGAATATGAAGCACCAGCATGACGCCCACACTTTACACTTCAGCTTATATAGATATTTAGAAAGATTCAGAAGTTTGCCACCACCAGGCTGGTTCAAAAGTTAAAGGGACTAAGTCATATGGTGGATAGTGAGAGGCTGTTTGGTGGGTCTTGACTAGGATGAAAGGGACTATAACTGAAAACTAAACACAAAATGGTCAGCTATAAGAAAGTACTCTACATGAGAGTAGTGAAAGAGTGAAACACACTAGGAGAGGAAGGGATGAAGACAAACTCCATATATAAGACCAAATACATGTATGATCAGACACTGGGTCAGGACTACATCACACTGGATTAATGGTTAAGAGACCGAGTCCAAGAATTCATGCTTAATTCCCACAAATGCAGTAAAAATCATACATGTATACACCAACAAAATACACCAGTGAAGAGACAATGGAAGATAGTTGAGGAGTGGAACACACTAGGAAAAAAGTATTGAACAGTTCAGCAGTAAAACTAAATTTAAACCAAGCGGTTGGGGACACATTACACAAACACATGAAACAGTCAGGGCCAAGGAGCTGCAGCTCAATCTCAGAAACACAAGAGACAGTACATTTGCACATGCATACATGACACTTACTAGTACCCATCCTTCCCAAATAACTCTACCCCCATTCTTGACACAAAATAAATTCATTTAGTTCACAGAAAAAGCTTTAAAATAGGATTTAAAATAAATGAAAGCTACGAAGAATACTTAAAGTAATATTCTTTACATTACAAGACAGAATGTACATACATTTTTTTGCAGTTCATTTTTTAACTTCTCATAGGATAAGTAGATGGTAGGACATACACTACATCATATTTACCCAATCTATGATAAGTATTATTTTAATATTTTGGCAATAATAATTTTTTTTGGTAATAAAGATCTGAGTTTCATATTTTCTATATTTGCTGATGTATCACCAATCAAGTCTTCGTGATTAGCATGCAAATGCACTTGTGTTTCCCATGCCTCCCTTTAGTTCACATGACCAGGACCTACCCTCTGGGGTCACGTGACCAGGCCTTACCCTTTGGGGTCACGTGACCAGGACCTACCCTCTGGGGTCACGTGACCAGGACCTACCCTCTGGGGTCACATGACCAGGACCTACCCTCTGGGGTCACGTGACCAGGACCTACCCTCTGGGGTCACGTGACCAGGACCTACCCTCTGGGGTCACGTGACCAGGACCTACCCTCTGGGGTCACGTGACCAGGACCTACCCTCTGGGGTCACGTGACCAGGACCTACCCTCTGGGATCACGTGACCAGGACCTACCCTCTGGGGTCACATGACTAGGACCTACCCTCTGGGGTCACATGACCTGGACCTTCCCTCTGGGGTCACATGACCTGGACCTCATCTTTAAAAGACTATGTGGCCACCTACAAAATAGTGGCATAAAAATATTTGTATTAATAAATTAGAAACTATGTTTAGAAAACATATTAAATATTATAGAAAATACCAAAACTTTAGGTTTACTCTCTAACATGAGCCAAAAAACTACAATCAATTACCAGAATAACATAATTATTTTCTTTGTGGCAGAACAGATAATTAACCTATCCACTGATTTTCCCACATCATTTCCTAATTTCCCCTACTACTATATAATTTTCTGACTATGTTGACAGTATTTGTACTTCAGTGGGCAATTTGTGATGTCTGTTTGGCATCTGAGGTGGTCTATTGGCCTTTGATTGGTAAGCTGGTATAAAATTAAAAATATGGAAAAGTCACACACAATGTTGCAGATCACTAAGAAACTGGCACAGCGTGCCACCAACGAACATCTCTACCATTGTTAGTTTGAATTGTACATGCACATGACACAAGGCATGTCCCAACTAAAATGGGAACCATATACAATATTAATTCCTCTTTAAGTGGAATATCTTTACCATTAATCTTGTAGAGGTAATGATGTACAAGAACTTTATCTTCACGAAGTGTATAAACATAAGTGTGCTTTATTATATACACGACTACCTTAGGTATCTAATTTATAATCTTAAACTAACAACTGAGCAGATGATAACCCAACAGCGGAACTAGCAGATATGAGCTGACCCTCTATTGCACCTCAAACATATGTTATATCAACATGTAAATGTAACAAGACAAATTACAACCAACAAAATATTTTGCATCTTATATATCTAAATAAACAACTAATGTTAACTCTCCCCACCCCATGAAAGTGGGAAACTGGGGAATAATGACATCTATTAATTTAAATAAACTTTCAAAAGCCCTCAACTTTTTCATATATGAGTTAGATGCTATTCAGTAAATGTGAATAATAAATTATATACTAAAGTAAACCAGAGGATCAAATCACATCAACCGAGTTATTAACATTTCACTGGCCACAAAGATATTGCTCCTCATTCACAACATACTTCTGCTACTACAGTAAATTTGATCTGTTGTATTTTATATTTATTTTTGTGTGGCAATTGATACATAGGATAACAAAATCAGACCAATATTAACCACACAGTTGCATCTTATGTACTTGAAGCTTTAGATTTATTGTAAAATGCCTGTACATTTATGAAAAATAAACAAATTAATCAATTAAGATTCATCACTGTTTCATTATTTTGTTATTAACAACTTTTGTTGTTAATCAGAAAGTTAAAAATATATCTCTCAACAATATACTAAATTTAGTTTTAATTAAAGAGAAATTTGAATTAAAACAATAATAATGATAATTAATCTCATGTGCCACTGTTGCAAATTAAATGTGTCCAAATGATATACTGTACAACAATACCAGTAGTTCCAAAAATGTACAATAATAGTCCAGAAGTTTAAAAGAAAATGTGTGATCTGAGCAATAAAAAAAAAGAAACAATTTGTAAAAATTGACCAAAGTTGCCAGCAATGGCTCAGATAATCCTGGGGCTAAAATTATAATGAGAGAAAACATCACATTAGAAAATGTTTATAATACTTTTGCTTTAATTTCTAGTTACAATATAAAATTAACTGTTATACTGACAGTAACATTTTAATCTGCTTAGGAGTGTTGTCATCGTTCAGGTGCTTCGTTGTGTACCTGCAAATATGACAAGGTGTCACTCTGTTTCATCAAAGTGTCAAAATAATCAGATTCAAAACATCAATTAAACAACATAAAACTGGGTTTAAAGACTAAAAGTTTGAAGAGAATATTACAGTACAAATGAAAATACAATACTGTTTGGTTAAATCATATCATAGATGTTTTGAGGGTTGTCACAGGATAATCAAGGGACCCTAGTTGGCAAGTGTGATCGACCAGGTCTGGGTTGAATGTAGAGGGACATGTTCTTAGTCTACCCAGATAGATTGCTTGTATTTTTTACTCATTGTACATTTGGACAATTAATGCTAGTCTTACAGAGCCATAACAATATTTATTAACCTCTACACTGCTCCAATAGCCATTTGTAATGTTTTCTCCATTTCATTTATTAATTATTTTTAAACACGCAGACCTTCATGCAATACATTTAAATAGCTACACCATTTGAGAGTTGATGAAGTTTCTATTTGTGTTAAAATTTGCTTCTTTTACATATACTACAAGTACAGTACATGTACTGTACAGTAGTTTTCAAGAAAAACTTTAATTGAATAAAAGTGCATACTCACTTGAAAGCATCCCAGTCCACTAGGATTCATATAGCCACCAATACAATATTATGTGTCTGAAGTGTTGAAAACTAGATTCTATAATGTATTGTAGTAGTTTATGCCATTATCATTAAGTGTCATCTTTATATTGTTTATCATTTCTAAATTTTTTGCATATCTCATATGTTAGCTTAATTCTCATTTAGTATAAAGTTTACCCCATTATACCTATACAAAATTTTAACAGAATTATTCCAAGTTTGGCCCAAAATGCTTTATGCATTAGTGGTTTTATTTATTATGCAAGCCTTGTACCTTAAAATATACCTCTGTATTATGTTTTTATGTATACGTGTGTGTATTATGAATAAATTAATATTATTATTAGTCTGGATAATCAAGACTCCTGCACTTTATATAAATATATAATATATGCCATACTTTATTATACATTTCTGAATTCTTAAAGACATAATCACCTGAGAGCATTAAGAAGGTTTTCTGAACTTGATGCAGGCTGATCTTTCAACACTTTCACACATCCTTTCACCTGTAACAGGAATATATTATTAATGGTGTATATGGCAAAACAAATTTATTACCCAAAATTAGAGTTAGTCCTCTTGATTCATAACATGTTAAGTGCTACAGATGCACTACATTATGTACCTCAAAATCTTGTATTTTAAGAGACCCCATTATGCTTTTTATGTTAATATGCAAATTTCAGGTTTTGAGAGAATAAGAAAAGTTCCTTTCTGAGTATTCCTCTCTGATACAATTGGTTTCGACTTTTACAAATAAGTGGTATGCTTGTGTGTGGTGAGCTTTACATGTGGTCTTTCTGGTTCCTCTGACTATGTAGTGGAGACCTGATTGCCACCTGGTGGCTGATGACAAGTACAGAGTTCCCACAGTAGTTAGCACTACTCTAATTGGCCTTCTTTGTGTTCCTGAGTGTAAGTATTGTATGGTACTGCATGCAATTATCTGCATTATGTTTGCACAGGGGCATCAAGGAACAATGCTGCTCTTCTGAAAGGCCAAAATATATTTCATAATCTTCCTTAGTTTCTCTATATTATGTTTTCCACTTACCTTATTTATTATGCATTAAAGAGATACATTGTTTATGTAAAAGTTATGTATGAAAATAAACACAAAGATGTGTTCTAAAATCCACAGAAAGAATATAAAAAAGACAATAAATAGTGAATAATATAAAAACCTGGATGGAATTGAATTCTTCGTAGTCCAAAACATGTTCCATTCTATCAAGATCTTACTTCCATTAGGAACAATATCTATATTGTTATCTAGATGCTTTAATAATAGAAGATCTATAGAAAACCTATCCCTAAATTATCCACTATATAATAATAATAATAATACAGTAATAATAATAATAATAATAATAATAATAATAATAATAAAAGTAATAATAACAATACAGTAATAGTAATATCAGTAATAATAACAATAATATTAGTAATATTAATGGGATAAAAACCCACACTTGTGGGTTTTTGGGAAATTTATGTAAGGTCTTTCACACTCTCCTGAGTGCTTTATCAAGGTCTGAGTGTGTGATTAGGACGAGACTTACACCTCAATGTAATCATGATTAGACATTGAGATGCAAGTCTTGTCCTAATCACACATTCAGACCTTGATAAAGCACTCAGGAGAGTGCGAAAGACTTGGTATAAATTCCTTACATATATTTCACATATACACAAGTGTGGGTTTTATCCTGTTATTATGCCTGTAAGAAGACATTTCCATTACTACAGTACTACTACTAATAATAATAAAATATTATTTATAAGATGTTTATACAAAGGATCAATTACAATAAACTTACATCAACGTTGGAAGCCTTGACAAACGCACCCACCGGGTGAACATGGTCATAAAGAATAATGAGTGCAACCATGACCCGCAAGATGAAGAGCTGCGTCTCCTCACGCCGGAACCTGGCTATTAAGTCTCTGAAACACAAATTAAATAAGGTCTTTGATAATAATGGTTTGAATTTCCTTAAAGCAAACCATATACAGTAATTTAACATTTCACTTTCTCATAAAAAGGAATTTCTAATACTACTTCACCTTATGCAATTGAATACAGTACTAGAAAATTACATCCTATATTTATAGCTTCTTATACATAACATATGTGGAGAGCTAGTGTCACAATTGATATGTTTATCCTGCAAACTGCCCCCCCATCCATTGGGCAGCGGTGGATAGGTTATAATCACTCAATTACTACCTGCAGTTAGCAAACTGGGGATATTTGGCTACGATTTCTGGTAGCAGATCATTTTGAAAGAAATACTGTATTTACACATCTCTTAAACATTTGTTATAATAATAATAATAATAATAATAATAATAATAATAATAATATTTTATTCAGGAAAAGTACATACACAGATGCAGAGTTACAAACATAATGATGGATTAATAGATAGAACTAGTACATACAATACCTAAAGCCACTAATACGCATAGCGTTTCGGGCAAGGTATGGGGGAAAACTGACATTTATAGAATTGTCTCTGAATTCACGTATCTTTTTGTGAGTAAATTATGTGCCTATGTAACCCTTTCCACTACCGCCCACAAGATGGGTATGGGATGCACAATAAATGAACTAAAACTAAATTTTTTATCCATAAGTATAATTGCACTAAGTCTGGACTTAGTCCAGTCCAGTATAAAGTCCTCCAGCAAGAGTACATGATGTGCAAACAACATTTTAATTTTCCACTCTAACTTGAATTATTCTTTTACTTGAATTTGAAGTCATTACTTCACTGTTCAAACTATTTAAGCATACAACAAAGGGCTTCACCTTCCCCTCTCCCCAGCGCAAATCTGGGAAAATGACATAAGTGTAACAATGAATCAACATTGAAAACATTGATCCGACATTGGTTAAATGTTACATTGATTAAATGTCACTCGATCATGTTTTGTCAGCTGGTTATAATAAGTAATTCTCCTGGAGATATATAATGAAAAGTACAGTAGTTTGAATTGAGAAATACTTACGGATTTTCTAACATTCTTTGGCAGACTTTAGCCATAGTACCCAAGGTTTCTGTTGTATTTTCTAAAGGGATCTCCTTGTGCTGTGTGAGGAAAAGGCAAAATGCAATTAATGAGTGACCTTGAAAAATTCAGGCTTTGAGTGAATATGAAGAGCTCCTTTCACAGCAAGAAACTTGGAAACTCCTCCCAAGACAATCTCACTGATGACCCATTGGACAGATTCGTGATAATCAGGAGAGGCTGGCAAGTAAGGATAATTATAATGGTGGTTGAGGATTGAGGGAAGGTGATGTTAGTTGCTGACACAGCTACCAATGATCTAAGTGGCAGTGACCTGGGTGGAGCCATAGCCATGAACCCATAGACCCCTGGCTAGGTAAGCCAGGGCCATGGCCAAAAATTGGAAAACATCCCCATATCCAGATACTGTACCTCCCATGGAGGTACAGTATATTTACATAAATTTTATGCTATATTTACATATAGCATAAATTTAGATCTTGTCCAGAACAATATACTCCAGATTTTTTAAGTGTCACTGTATGTTACAATTAATTTATATTTCATAAGGCTAATATGCTATGCATTTAGGTGGCTTTGCAAGACTGTACCTTTATTGAACTTATCAGTTACGCCATGTTAATCAATTTCAAGTTGTCTACTATACTAATGAATGTATTAAATTTATGCACTAAATGGTTACAAAACTCCTTGCTCTTTATAAATAGGCATCAAAAACATTAAAAGCAACAATGCCTTAAATTATTTCCTTCAAGAAAGCAAGACAAATTTAAACAAAATTTACCTCAGTAACAAATTTAGAAGTTGCTTCACTGAGGATTTTGAGCATTGGTGTGGAATTGGCATAAAAAAGACTCATCTTGTTTGCCAGTTGATGGTCTATTGTTACATCGTCTTCAACAGCCTCCACACCGTTGTGTTCAATCTTGAGGCGCATGACGGTACGACGGTAGTAACTGAAGTCATTCTGTATGGCTGGGGTTGTCATCTAGAGGCAAAGATATAGCAGTAAGAAACAAACTCTAATATTCTAACACACTATACATACATTATATATATATATATATATAATTTTATATATATATATATATATATATATATATATATATATATATATATATATATATATATATATATATATATATATATATATATATATATATATATATATATATATATAATGTTATACTGGTATATATGTTATACAATATATACACACACACACACACACTATACCGGTATATATGTTATACAATACATTTTGAATATATAACTATGAAACTTCATTTCCACAGGTTGCCCTGTATGATATAGCAGCCATATCATAAATTCTACAGTATAGCAGCTATTTAAATTATTCCCAAGACTTCTGCATACTACACATAACATGTACGTGTACAGGAATTCCACATACCACTAATCACATATGCAACTGCCAAGTATTGTGTACTGGTATTAGGAATGTAAAAATAACAAAAATGGTATTGGCAATCAATAAATACATTTAGAAGTGCTTCAATTTATTAAGAACTCATGCATTACCTTAAGTTCATCAAATTTCAGTGTAAATTCAAGTATTTCAGCAAATTGTTTAACAAGAGCTTGCTGTGTTTCTAAATGCTGTGTTGGAGATATTTCCGGCCCACATAACTCTGCTAGAATGCGTGGAACGATCATTTCTGTAAATAAATTTCTTCATTGACAAAGTAACTCTTGCTGCCTGTTTTGTGTCTAATAACTCCATTAATAAATCAACATAACTTTACTTAATACAATATACAGTACATATATCCAACAGCATCAATGGTTATGTAGCATTACATGATCAGTGAAAAGCACTGTACATCGATAGATTTAATAATTGAAAAATCCAGATTTGATTTATGTATACAGAAGCTAATCTGATATATAAAATACCTCTGTTTTCCCATAAAAAAAACTAATAATTTGATCAGATAACTAAGCAAGTTATATAAAGAATCGAACAAAACAAGTCATTAAATAATACAGTATTTGTAATTTCAAACTCCAAACATCAAGATGAATATACAGGCTACTGGCATGCACAAATGGAAAATTAAAACAAAGAATATGCATCTGCAGGTGTACAAATTGCATCAAAAAAGATTCCAAGTAAGGAATCTCCAAATAATGTATGTTGATGTGCAGACTGAATGATTTACACAGACTAATTTTACTGTATATCATCACAACCAGATCAAGGGATTTAATATACAGTACTGTATTGTGTGTCATTAAATCATATCTGTTGGATTTTGTGCATGATCATAAATGATATATAACCATTTTTGGCAGCTTCAATTATTTAATTAATGAAGAACTTAATAGATAATCAACTTGATAATGTTATACAAATTTTTTAATCAGATTGGATGGCCAATATAGCTGACCTATATCACTGGAGAAGAGGTAGAATAGCTTAAGTTTCTGAACAAGTGGCGTGACCATCTCCCACGCTCGTCTCTGGTAGTCATCTCCGGGGTCACTGATGGCCTGCAACGGCATAGCACATTATTATCTTTAAGGAAACACGTGTTAACACACACACACACACACACACACACAAACACACAAACGTAAATAAATGCCATGTTATGGAATGTGGAATAGGAGAACATAGACCCCCACACAACCTATAAATTATGTGAGGAATCTTTAAAGAAGTCTGATAAAGAAAGAGATCTAAGGGTAGTTCTAGATAGAAAACTATCACCTGAGAATTACATTAAGAACATTGTGCGAGGGGTCTATGCTACACTTTCTAACTTCAGAACTGCTTTTAAATACATGGATGGCGAAATATTAAAGAAATTGTTCACAACTTTTGTTAGACCAAAGCCGGAATATGCAGCAGTTGTATGGTACCCATATCTAAAGAAGCACATCAACAAATTGGAAAAGATGTAAAGCCATGCTACTAAGTGGCTCCCAGAACTGAAGGACAAGAGTTACAAGGAGAAGGTAGAGACATTAAATATGCCAAAACTAGAAGACAGAAGGAAAAGAGATGATATGATCATTACGTACAAAATAGTAACAGGAATTGATAAAATTGATAGGGAAGATTTCCCGAGACCCGGAACTTCAAGAACAAGAGGTCATAAATTTAAAATAACTAAACACAGATGCCGAAGAAATATAAGAAAATTAACTTTTTCAAACAGAGTGGTAGGCGGTTGGAACAAGTTAGGTGAGAAGGTGGAAGAGGCCAAGACCGTCAGTAGTTTCAAAGCGTTATATGACAAAGAGTACAGTACTGGGAAGATGGGACACCACGAGCGTAGCTCTCATACTTTAAACTACACTTGAGTAATTACACACACGTAAATTACATGCCCACTATGGATATGTACCTCTGAAGCAGCATATAACTATTCTATACTGTATATTGGACTGTAGAAAGGTAAGAGAATTTCTTCAGGAAGTCCATTGGGATGACGAGCTCAAGTGATGGATGGCAAAAGAAATAATGAGAGTACATAGCACATTTGGGAGGTCCAGAGCTGATGTGGACGAATTTTACTACAAAAAAAAAAAATATTATAACAAGGAGCATAGTACAAATAAGGAGCAACAGTTTCAAGCTCATCAAGCCACAATGTAGGACTGAAAAGAGGAGATGATTTTGCACCCACACGGTTATAAACCCCATGGAACTGCCAACATGCCTTAGCCATAAATGCCAAAACTGTTAAATTTTAAAATCCAGCTGGAAAAAATCAACAAGGAAAATGGTGGGACCTTTGACAAGCAGCCAGAATCCTGTTCTCTTTGAGGCCACAAGTGTGTTAGTGCCCCTCAGGTAAATAAGTCCACATGAAAGAAGTTGGCAAGAAGAAAGTAGTGGAAACAAGCAAGAATGACGAATGTTTCAACACAATTCAAGGAGGCCAAAAACAGAAATGATAGGTCTTGGAAGAATTCAGATAACAGAGTCCTGATCCAAACACGAAGTACTAAGAAGAGCCAGAAATAATTACATTAGGAGTCAGGATTGAAGCAGTGAGGATGTATGAAAATGAAATAGAGGCTAAGGTCAGAGGTCAACATCCAAATAAGAAATAAATCCACACCAAGGAAACTAGTTGCTTGCCCAAGAAAATAATATGAAGGCCTGTGAGGAGTTCAACAAATCTCAAGAGGCTTAAGGTAGAGCCAGCTGGAGTGGATGGCTGGTAAAGAGGCAACAGAAGAGGGGAACCATTATTGAAACTATAGTACTAATTCAAAAGGCAAAATAAGCACCTGGAAAAATATCAAAGAAAACAAACCAGTAGGGCCAGACCAGATTTCACTTTGTATATTGAGAAAGACATCAGTGATACTATGCAACCTTCTGGCGTGGATTAGATGAGGATGTCGATGCTGATTAAAAAATGAGTTGTAAGGAAAATGATAAGAAAAACGAGTGAAAGGTCATTGCATTGGCCTACTGAATGGCCGAAAGGCATAGATAAGATGCTCGACCCTGCAAGCTCATCTAGGTTTGTACATGTAGGTGAGTACACGGTGAGAATGTTTGAGAATTCATCGACGAGAGAGGGGAGTGGAGCATGGAAAGTGGGGGAGGGAGCATGGAAAGTGGGGGGGGGGGAGCATGGAAAGTGGGGGAGGGAGCATGTAAAGTGGGGGAGGGAGCATGTAAAGTGGGGAGGGAGCATGTAAAGTGGGGGAGGGAGCATGTAAAGTGGGGGAGGGAGCATGTAAAGTGGGGAAGGGAGCATGGAAAGTGGGGAAGGGAGCATGGAAAGTGGGGAAGGGAGCATGGAAAGAGTGGGGGAGTGAGCATGGAAAGAGTGGGGGAGGGAGCATGGAAAGAGTGGGAGGAGCATAGAAAGAGTGGGGGAGGGAGTATGGAAAGAGTGGGAGGAGCATAGAAAGAGTGGGGGAGGGAGCATGTAAAGTGGGGGAAGGCGCATGGAAAGTGAGAGGGAGCATGGAAAGAGTATGAGAGGGAGCATGGAAAGAGTATGAGGGAGCATGGAAAGAGTAGAGGGCAGAAAAGTGTAGTGTAGAGAGTTATGAGGTCAGCCCGGGTTACATAAGCTATAAGTGTGGCGGTAATAAGTAAGGTGGCGGACGGGGGAAGAGTTTAAGGTCCGGCCCCTATAATGTGCGCCTGACAACTGCTGCCGCTAAGGAACAAAGGCTATTGACCAGGCCGGCGCCGCCAGCTGGGTCTTCAGCCACTACTCACGACGCCACCCATGGCTTCCTTCCTCTAACTCTCCCACATAAAAAAAAGACCTCTCGCCCATTTTTTGGCTTTTTATATGCTATTGTTTATTTGATATTGTCTTCCGTGTTATTTGGCAGAACATGGAAGCAATTGCGGTTTCCAGTTTCAGCAAACTCAGTGTAAACAGATGAAGAGTTTGTACACTCAGGCTGGCCCTATAGTCACTAAGGGGAGTTTTAGTACTATAACACAAGCCAACGAGGAACAATAACAATTTAACATAATACCTCTTTAAATGCTGACTAATAGCTTGATAGCTTTCATACGAGGAAAATGGAAAATTATGCCAAACTAGCGAAAATTTTGCAGACATTTGTATATCCCACGCACGTGCATTTTGTGCCCATATAAGGAAATGTGGTCCTGGACTCTAACCAATCACCGACCATCTCTCCAACACGTCATCATCCCCATCGACCAATCAGCGAGCGGACCTGCCACACGCCCCTTGGGTTGCCAAACGTCACGCTAGAAGTGTTCACCTTAAACAGGCATCTGCACTAATTATATCCTATACCAATTACATATCAATTGTGAGAGGGTGAAATGTTAACAAAATACATCCGTTTATAGGGTTCAATTTGTTTAAAGGAGTTACACTGTCTCTAATAGCATATACAAATTTTAAAACTGCTGTATATTGAGGGAAAATTTTAAATTTGCAAATAATTCCGCGATAATTCACAGGGATGATTGAACCTCCACAGTGTCGCAGTGACCGCTGTCTGGTCACCCGAGTCAGTACATATATATGTATAATATTCTCAACAAATTGGTATAACCTATTGATCTATAGACCTGTAGCTTGACCTACCCAAGCCACACTGATCGGCACGACAACCACGACTACCACCATCACCACGACTACCACCATCACCACTACTACCATCACCACGACTACTACCACCCCCTCCCCCCAGAACTACCACTACCTCCCAAACAGATAATGGCAAAATAGATTACATATGACTTTTCTTTAAAAACTCGGGGGTGTCTTTAAACTTTGCTTCTTGAGAGAAAACTAAAAAAGTATTAATATTACATGTCCTTACAACATTCATACTAATCGTTCTCTAGTTCATTAATATAGCATCATTTTATAAAGAACTTTATAAGCTAGTTTGAGTTTATTCTTAAAGAAACTTTGTGATCAAATAGTTATATTGAAAGCCTCGTCAGTCGTCACATTCTCTTACCAGGTCCAGGTCTGGCTGCGTATGGTCCAGGCGTGTGGCCAGGTCCAGGTCTGGCCCCGTGTGGTCCAGGTCTGTAGACCTGGTCCAGGCATGGTCTGTCCACACGCGTCACTTAGCTGTATATTCCCAGTTGGTCTTCAAGATTTAAATCTTACTCCTAAATCCCCTTCCTTCTTCCTACATTCCCTTTAATTCCCTACATCCCATTTCCTACCCTCTACATCCCCTTTCCAACCCTCTACATCCCCTCCCCTTTCTACAATCCATCCTTTCCTCCACCCACCACCTCTCTCTCAAAAGGTCACACAACACAGCACCTCACATGATCCTCCCCCGCCTTCCCAAGAGCATCTCTGGGGGACCATCACTGTTACTACCATTGGTATTTTATGATGGCTGGAGCCTAACCGCTCTGTGCTCTCCACAGCCTGTCCCCTCCTGTACTGTGGCGCACACCCACGCTGGACCTCCCTCTTCCACCACCACACATTCCTTCCCGAGCTGTATATTACCCAGAATTAATGTAAACACGCGACTCCTTTAGCTGTGTTAATATATTTCATAGTATCTCCGCCAGAGTTGTATTTGTTGCAAAATGTGAACAAATTTTATTGAATAAAAAACGAGCTGGACCTCATCTCTGTTGAGGTTTGATAAAGATCTTTTGTGTCCTCTGTAATCCTTTTTTGCGCTGCCGCTCACAGGATGAGTAATGAGTGCACAATAAACTAGCCGCCGGAGGCGGCAACAATAAAACAAAATCCTGAGCTAAGGGGACAGAGCTATGAAGACTAAGGGAACCGGACGTGACTGGAGGAAAGAAGGAATAAGGCAGACATGATAACGACTTACAAGATACTAAAGGGGGATTGACAAAGTATATATTGAAGCAATGTTATAATTAAGGAATAAAAGAACGAGAGGACATAATTGTAAACTGGAAACACGGAGGAGTCACAGGGTTGTGAGAAAGAGCTAAGTGGAACGGACTAGAAGAAGAAGTTGTCGAAGACAATTCGATACGTACACAGTTTTTAAATGTAAATACGATAAGAAAACGAGTAAAGAGTCACTACATTAAATTGATGATACGAGCAGATTGATGACTAAGAGCAAATACTCGACCCTGCAGGCACAACAACTAGGTGAGTACAATTAAGTAAGTACACACAGACACAGATGGACAGTTTCTTTCACTTGATGCCTCTATTCACCTAGCTTAGGTCTGGAGTTAGTATATTAAACAACCGACAATTAGAAAGGTGGGGTCCAAGAGCTAGCAGCTCGATCCTACAGACAAATAGTAAGTACACACAGATCTGAACGACATAAGTAGTAGGAATCCCATGAAAATAAATGTTAAAAATAAAGCAAAGGGAAACGAATTCATAATTAGAAGCATCAATAATTAAAACATGTTATATTATTCTTCGACTTACATATATATAGAACAAAAATAATACGAATAATTAGCTACAAATTAGATTAGTTTAGATTCAGAAAAAATGTAAAAATACTGCTTTAAGAATAGGCTTTACATTCCCCTTGGGACAAAATTTAAAATTTAAACACGGGTCAACAAGCGAATAATTCTGGTGTGATGTGCTGTAGGGTGGTATTTCCTGGGCCCCAGCACCACCACCCACAGCTGAGAATGGGTCGTTACCTCTCTGATCTCCTTGGCTGCTCCCTTGTACTGCTGCAGGTCGTGGATCACCGCCTGGGACCCCCGCAACACCTCGCCCACGTCCTCGTACAGCTCCCGCTCCTCCTCGCTGGGACACGCATCTGTAAGGTGGTCCACCTGTCAACACCTGCTGCACACACACATACACCTGCAACACTCTCCATCTGGCGCACCTCCTTACACACACCTGTAGCACTCTCCACCTATCTCACCCCGTTACACATACCTGTAACACTGTCAACACCCTCCTACACACACCTGTAACACTGTCAACACCCCCTACATACACCTGCAACACTGCCAACACCCACCCCTACACACACCTGCAACATTGTCAACACCCCATCACACATCTGCAACACTATCAACAACCCCCCGCACATACCTGCAAACAACCCTACACACCTGGAACTCTGTGTACACTGTCAACACAACTACAGTAATAGCCAACAGGTGCAAAGACATCAACAACCAGTGTCCAGACATCTACAACAAGTGTCCAGACATCTACAACAAGTGTCCAGACATCTACAATAAGTGCCAACGTATCTAACCTACAACACTCCTACAAGTGTTCAGGAATCTTCAACGAATGTCTCAGGCATCTACAACAAGTGTCTAGATATCTACAAGTGCCAAGACATCTAGAACAAGTGTCAAGACATCTAGAACAAGTGTCAAGACATCTACGTCACAATACGAGGGCTGTACTCACTCTCGAAGTCAAGGAAGACATCGTACTTCTGGTGGGAGCAGCAGCTGTTTCCCGCGTCGTCTCGCGCTAGTAGCCTCAAAAGGTTACCCATTCTACATCACCTGCAACAGTCAACAGGTTATATATTCTACACCTGCAACAGTCAACAGGTTACATATTCTACACCTGCAAGTCAACAGGATATATATATATTCCACATCTGCCTCCACATTCACCCCAAAACTGTCGTTCTAGATAATGGTAGCGGCTGGCGAAATTGACGTAATGCCCCGTTTTCTGTTTGTGGGTCCTCTGGTAGGTTAGGATGAGGCACTTTAGTAGGACAGTTTCTTGACGTTGGGAACGTTGGCGAGAACGGGGTTGCCAGACATCTGGGACCAGATTCACGCAGCAGTTACGTAAGTACTTACGAACGTGTACATCTTAGCTCAATCTTTGACGGATTTGGTTATATTTATTAAACAGTTTACAAGCTTAAAAACTTCCCAATCAACTGTTGTTATTGTTGTAAACAGCCTCCTCGTGCTTTGGAGTTCATTAACTCTTTAATCATTTGTAAACAAAGCCGCCAAAATTTAAAAAAGATGTACAGGTTTGTAAGTACTTGCGTAACTGCTTCGTGAATCTGGCCCCAGGCACTGGTGTGAGAGCCCACAGTATCCCAATTAACTTTGTCCCGGGTTTTTGTCCCTTGATCCCTCCTGTTGCCGTGGGATTAACAGACCTGAAGCTGTTAACGCTTCGGTAAAGGGATTAGCCCGCCAACCCTTGAAGCTATTGGAGGTCACCCTCCACGTGAACCCCCTGGGGCAGAGTGGTTGGTTAGGTCACCCTCCACGTCTCCACTCAGGTCACCTCCACAGCTGTCCAGGTGCTGGACAGGGTACATCCCATCACTAGGCTTCTCAACGCAAAATGTTGCAAAGCTCAATACTGCCACGGAGGTGGGGGGGGGGGACACCTCCCTACACTATAGATGGCAACCTACTGCCAAATTACTCTCCCTAACTTCCAACTCAAGAAACACATTCAAAATATATCTGATCTCCGCCTCACAGCCAAATACAATTCCCTAAGCACGGGTGGTACTTTCTCCACAGTGCTCTGCCACACTCGGCTCGCTAATGGCTCCCGGAAGTGCCATTGTAACGAGCAGCGCTGCCATCTATCTTGAGAGAGAGAGAGAGGGGCCAGTATATATAACTAGGCTTCACACTCCAAGCACCTTACGGGCTCACCATAGCCCGTGCTACATGGACACTTCGCCCGGAGTAGCTAAATCTGAAACAACAACTCCAAGAACCTTCACTTTTCACCTCATAATCAGTCGTATACACTAAGGCTGCCACTCTTAATTTAAGTAACTAACATCACGTATGACTAACAATTAAACTGGAGCTTAATTGCCTTAATCCAGGGAGCCGGTCGGCCGAGCGGACAGCGCACTGGACTTGTGATCCTGTGGTCCTGGGTTCGATCCCAGGCGCCGGCGAGAAACAATAAGCAGTTTCTTTCACCCTATGCCCCTGTTACCTAGCAGTAAAATAGGTACCTGGGTGTTAGTCAGCTGTCACGGGCTGCTTCCTGGGGGTGGAGGCCTGGTCGAGGACCGGGCCGCGGGGACACTAAAAAAAGCCCCGAAACCATCTCAAGATAACCTCAAGATAAGATCCAGACAGTGGTTGACACACCATTATTATGGGTTCAGACGAGAGAACATCTCACATGACAACTGGCGAGCAAGGCAGAGACGTTACAACATAGAGGTGATTGATTGATAAAGATTATGCCACCCAAGAGGTGGCACGGGCATGAAAAGCCCGTAAACCATAGAGGTGACTAGCAACCTTATCTAGCCAGTAAGGATATAATACTTCAATATCTTGAGGTTATCTTGAGATGATTTCGGGGTTTAGCGTCCCCGCAGCCCGGTTCTCGACAAGGCCTCCTTGTTGTTACACATCCCCCAGGAAGCAGCCTGTATCAGCTGTCTAACTCCCAGGTACCTATTTACTGCTAGGTGAACAGGAGCATCAGGGGTGAAAGAAACTGTACCCATTTGTTTCCGCCTCCGCCGGGGATCAAACCCGGAACCTTTGGACTACGAATCCCGAGCGCTGTGCACTCAGCCGTCAGGCCCCGTATATATTAGGCGTAACTTGTTAGATGAGAGAGGTGAGCTCTCCGCCACTATTCCATCCACTAACCCGCCAAATATATCCCAAGAGTTAGTTGATACATTTAAAACGAAGCAATAATATATATTACAGCTCGTGAATAAAGCATTATGAATTTGATTCAAGTTTATACCACCTGCTGATATAAATCTTACTATGATCAGTTTACTCTAATATTCTTAATTATAAAGAGCACTAGAGTTCCAAAGGGACAGAGCTCAACCCACGCAAACACAACTAGGTGAATACAGAAGAGTAAGGGGAGACACGATCACTACCTACAAAATTCTCAGAGGAATTGACAGGGTAGAATTAAGATAAACTGTTTAACACTGGCGGGACACGAACAAGGGGACACAGTGGAAACTGAGTACCCAAATGAGCCACAGGGACGTTAGAAAGAATTTTTTCAGTGTCAGAGTAGTAGACAAATGGAATGCACTAGGAAATGATGTGGTGGAGGCTGACTCCATACACAGCTTCAAGTGTAAATATGATAGAGCCCAATAGGCTCAGGAACCTGTACACCAGTTGATTGACAGTTGAGAAGCGGGACCAAAGAGCCAAAGCTCAACCCCCGCAAGCACAACTAGGTGAGTACACACACACCCACACTAGGTTGTGTAAGTAAAGATTCTGGTGATTAAACAAAACAGTGTTGCCAAGGCGTTGACAAGTTAGAGGGTTTACACAGGAAATGTTATGTTGTGAGGTCCACAGACCCAGAGACCTGGTGGGGGTTGGTGGTGGTGGTAGTGTGGGGGGGAGGTGGTGGTGGTGGTGTGGGAGGTGGTGGTGGTAGTGTGGGGGGGGGGGGGGGTGGAGCGCGCCAAGATGACACCCCTTCCCCCCCCCCCCACGACACCCCCCACCACTACATACATAGGGACCTGATAGCTAAATGGACAACGCTCTGGACCCCTAGGGTCCATCCTAGGTTCCGGGTTCGATCCCCAGTAATGGCAGAAACAAAATGAACAGTTGGCCTGCCCTGGCCTGCCATCATAACTCAGCCCCCCTGGCCTGCATCACCCGTGCTCAGCGCTGCTGACGCCAACACACTCAAGGTTCCATAAAGACACACCCCAGCAACAAGGCAGCCTTCCCCACGCAGAGACACTCAGCATGGTGTGTCAGCTGATCATCCCTCCTATCCTATCTTATCCTATCCTATCCTATCCTATCCTAACCTAACCTTCCCCACGCAGGAACATGCAGCATGGTGTGTGAGCTGACCATCCCTCCTAACCATAGCTTTACCTAATCTAACCTAACCTAACCAATCCGTCTATATATATTAGAGAGAATGTCTTAGTGCTAGTCTCACCCCATCTTTGCAGGGTGAGTGATCTGGGGTATGGGACAGACACAGGCTGGTTTGGGTCGGTCCTATTGGTCATATTAAGAGGTGTGTGGGGGGGGGGGGGTTTATGCTCAATAGTTAACCCCTTCAATATGATCTGTGAAAGGTGGCTGTCAGAGTCCCTATATTCCTTGACCCGAAAAGGATAAACGAGAATTTAGTTTAACATTTTCTGAGATAAGTAGGAGACATAGAACGGAAGGAGAGAGGGGGATAGAGGGGAGGAAAGGAGGGAGATGGGGGAGAGGGAACGACAGGGAAAGACAGAAGAAAGTGGGAGAAAGAGACCCGGGTATATCCGGGTATCCACCCTCCCTCTAGTACTACTCTACAGGACGTCACATATATGAGAACATAAGATTAAATGAAACTACAGAAGGCCTAATTGGCCCATATGACAGTTATAATTTATATCCATCTAAACATTCCTATACAACATTCTACATTCTATACATTCTACGCTTGAAACAATCAACAATTGTGTTACTTTGTAATTTGATTCCATAATTCAACAACTTGTGGTTAGTCTAATAAAGTCATCACTCTTCTAGACTCACTCTTCTAGGGAGAATTCCCTAGAATTCCCTAGAATGGTGTTCTGCCTTTTTCAGACATCATGATTCATAGAATCGGTAGAAGTTTCAAATTCAATGTGTATAGAAAACCTACCAATGTGTGCTCGTATATTCATTTGTACTCTAATCAACATGTCCAGGTTAAGCGGGCAGTATTTTCTGCAATGTTTCTTAGAGCCCTGAGAGTTTGTAGCCAGGGGACCAGATCCACAAAGCAGTTACGCAAGTACTTACGAACGTGTTCAACTTTCCTCAATCTTTGATGGCTTTGTTTACATTTATTAAACAGTTTACATGCATGAAAACTTGCCAATCAACTGTTGTTATTTTTATAAACAGCCTCCTGGTGCTTTGGAACTCATTAACTGTTTAATAATTGTAAACAAAGGCGCCAAAGATTGAGAAAAGATGTACAGGTTCGTAAGTGTTTGCGTAACTGCTTCGTGAATCTAGCCCCAGGAATTTTTTAATGAAGAAATAACAAAAATATTTGAAATTAGGAGGAAGTTAAAATGGCCAAAATCGGCCTTGAATTTCGCGTTTGGTCGAGCAAAAAGGACGTTCTACAAATAAGCTCCCAAGTCTAAGCCAGAAATCAAATAATAAAAGCCAGAATATAAAATATAAGCCAGAAACAATGGGGTCCACCTCCACCCACACAGGACGAGGATGGAGAGAACCAACAAGACAACAGACAGACAGACAGACAGACAGACAGACAGCGTCAGGCAGACTAGAAGAACCAGGAGGTGTTTATCCTGGCCGAGGTTACCGGAAGATTGCCGTCTGCGACATTTTGGCTTCCTGCTGTGCTGAGCGAGGCTATGTCCAGTGTTCCCACCACCACCACCGTAACTACCACCCCCACCACCACCACCGTAACTACCACCCCCACCACCACCACCACCACCACTATAACCACCCCCACTTGCACTACCACACTCCCACCACCTGCACCACCACCACCAGAATTACAACAATTAATT